AACAGGGTCAATCACTGTTGCACTGGTGACAGATGGATAGTCAGGGGGTCTCTGTGTGTGGGTGGGGGGGTTGGAGAGAAACAGAATGGGCTCGAATTATCAGATAAATAAAACAAACACCTGTTTTTTGTTTTTTTAAAACACTATCAGGAAAAGAGAGGCTGTCATCGCTCCAGCCGCGAAGCAGTTCACATTTTAGTACAATGATGGGGTCAGTCGCCTCTACGCTCATGGCAGATGGGTGGTCGGGGGGGTCTCGGTGCATGAGTGTGTATGTGAGAAAGAGAATGGGCTTGAATTTACATTTTGCTGCAAACAGATTAGAAATCCCTGATTTTAAAACAATCTATTAGAAAAACAGTTTCCTGTCACCGTCTGCTGTGAAGTACCGTATTTTTCGGACTATAAGGCACACTTAAAATATTTTAATTTTCTCTAAAATTAATAGAGCTTTATAATCACCTTATGTATTAATTCTGGTTGTGTTTACTGACCTTGAACCGTTTCTATGTGGTGATTCTGAATGAGTTGAATAAAGTTTGACGACTGTTTTTTTCCACTTAACGCATCTTATAGTCCAAAAAATACGGTAATTCACATTTTAGTGAACTAACAACAGATAAAAATAACTGAGTATAATAATAACTCTAAATAAAAGATAAATTATTAATCTAGGGATGTATTATCTACATATACACCCCCCCCCCACACACACACACACACCACAGTTTTCTGTAGCATGGGGGAAGCAGGTGATGTGACTGATGTGTGGAAATGATTTTAACGTGTAAAGTTAATTTTTATTATTCGTTAATTTTCTGTAGCATGGCTTTAACCAGTGAACAGAAGACTGAAATGTGATTTAAAAAAATAGGCTGTGAGTGAAGGCTGTGAGTGATGTGAGATAATCCGCAGGCGTCCAACGCTTATTTTGTGAACGCAAATCCACGACCAGTTAACTCACACACACACACACACACACACACACACACATGCACAAATACTCCCTGGATGATAAAACAAGTGGACCATCCTCCTAAACATGCAGCAGCAACAGCACGATTCAAAGAAACATACTCACCTACTTAAGTCTTAACACTGAGACATTTTACGTTTGGAGGGAAATGAGATTTATTACAGCAGCTAATTGATAAAGAGTCTTTAATCCGCCATAGTTCAATCCCATTAAGATTCAGTGGCTGAGAAAAGAAATATTGAAATCAGCCTCAGTCCAGTAAAAATGTAAAAAAAAAATAAAAAAAAAAGTCCAGAATTTAAAACAGCTTTTGTTGAACTTGTTAATTCTGCTGTTTCTTTCTTTTTTTGTCACTCAAGATCTAATCCAGGATTTAAAGGGTAATTCCACAGGAAAACGTTTATATCCAGAGCACCTTTATCAGGCTGACGGTGGCTCATAAGTCCCACTTTCTTTTGTCTTCAGGTAAATGAAGCGGCTTTCAGTCTCCTTCAGGAAAAGAATGGAAATATTTTTTGAACAGAAATATGAGTTTCCTCCTCCTTTCTGTATCTGACACACCACACGGGCACACACACCTCAGATTAATCGATTTTTCAGTGATCTGAATCTTCAGCTCGTAAATAGTCGACATAAATTACTAAACGGCTAAAATACGAGCAGACGGATGCAAGCCTGTGTTTTATGAGTGATAGGACATAAATAAATGAGCGACGTGAAGATGAGAAAGTAGAAGACAATGGAAATAAACTGTTAAGTTAGGATGGCTGATATTTAAAAAAAAAAAGTCAAAATTTTAAAAGGAGGAAAGGAAAAAAACAGAAAAAGGATCTTCTGGATGATGAAGCTGGCTTTTCTTTTTTTTTTTAGTCCATTCCCTGTAGTGGCTTGTGTGAGTCTGTGTCCAGGAATGAAAGTCGGCTCAGAAAGATACGAGACAGAAAAAGAGAGAGGGAGGGAGGAGACAAGAGGGAGGAGAGAGGAGAAAGAGGGCAGCAAAAACTAACACGGAGCACTGAATTAACACAGATGACACAACGGACAGGTGCTGGCTGTATAATACACTTGGAGACGGCACGCTGTGACCTTCATCTCATAAAATAGAAGGCCAGGAAACTGGAACATAACTCATTTTCTCCTGACAGGCTGGTGATGAGTTCAGGTGTCTGTCAGTGTGTTGGACAGCAAACAAAGGAACAAACATGAGACAAGGAAGTCGTGTGATGTTTTAATGGGGGGGCGGGAAAGCACATTTCTTGTGCAACAACATGAAACAAAATAACAAGACGGTCAAAATTTCATCATGACGATGGCTGGAGAAGGTGCTCGCTGGATGAGTCACCGTGGTGACAAAAAAAAATCAAGTCAGAAAACACGGATGAAAAAGGAGGTTTGGCGAAAGGAGGACATGAGGCGAGGATCAGCTGAGAGCAGGACGAGAGGAGAGGCGTGGTGACACCAGAACCTCTGTGTGTGTGTGTGTGTGTGTGTGTGTGTGCGTGTGCGTGTGCGTGTGCGTGTGTGACAAGCACAAACAGAAAAGACTCTGAGACAGACACTAAACACTAAATAGACCTACCTATGATCAGATTTAAGAATCGGCCAGAAAAGATGCAAAGGATGGTGGGAGGAAAAAAAAAGAGGAGTAGGGGAGATAACAGGAGAAGGTACAAAAGTGAAAAAGGCGTAAATAGAAAATACAAAGCCTCTTAAAACGACTCTATTAGAGCTGCTTCAAGGAAAGAAATCAAAGCAGAGGTGGAGTCAAAGTAAAAGTAGCCAAAGTTGCGTGTGGACGGTGGCTGGAGTGGAGGGGGGGGGGGGGGGGGGAGCGTGGGCTGCACAGGGATAGCAATGGAGAAAGGGCAGGAAGAATGGATGATAGTGGGGAGAAAAGAAGAGAGAGGGGGAGAAAAAAATCCCCCTCCTCTGTCTCTTCCTCTGTTTCTCTGTCTCTCTGTTTCCTGTCTGGCTCATAAACAGGAGAAATTGTTGACCAGGTAAATGGCAAAATAGATGAGAAGGCAGAGGACGGAGAGAGCGAGCAAATGAAAAGGTAAAGCACCTCCCAGCAGCGCAATGAGGAAAAAGAAGAATAAAAAACGAAAGATAAAAGCAAATACTCCGGCGGCCTCCGTCGTCTCCAGTCTCTCAGTGGAAGGGGGGATTGGCTGCTGCCAGTTGTTCCCCTTCCCCGACTGCCTTCTGCTTTCTTCTCTTCCGCCTGCCAAAAATCACTTCCCATCCAGAAGACAAAAAGCAGGCACAGATGTCCTCTCCTCCTTTCTCCTAACTCTGCTCAGATGTCACACGCCCCTCACACAGGCTAGACATTGTTGCAGCGGCAACGAAACAGCAATATTGCTTAGTGGGAGGGAGCGAGAGAGAGGAGAAAGAAAAAAGGCATTGGGGGGGCTGCTGCTAGTCAAGCACTGCCTACCTCATGAGGAAAGATACTGAGCTGGAATCGCTCTGTCTCCCCTCTCCCGCCCATCCCGGCAAAAAGATGGGAGGAAGGGAGGTGGGTCCACTGGCTGCATTAGTATTCATTGAAAGAGATGAGAGAGAGAGTGGAAGGTAGAAGGGTGAAGTGTGGTGGGGGGGCTGCCAACAAATGTCGAGGAACCAAACCAGTGGGAAACTAATAAACTGGCTCCCCCTAGAGTCAATCATCAATCCCCAAACTGATAACAGAATCAATGGGCGCCGCTGGAGTGTTCACATGTGGAGCTCAAACAAATTCACTGACTCAGCTCGGCTGCGTCACGACCACGACTCAGACTCGTGCTCTGCCTGACGCCGGAGCTGTTCCGCTCTTTAAAAGAAGTTCATCGTCTCCGAGGCGACGCCTTGTTATTTATTTCCAAGGTTTTAGTCTCCTTTGGTGTTTTTGCATGCTGGTGAGCTGTGACACATCAAACAGCTTCTGGTCCGTGTCTGCGCTGCTCTACGAAACAAACCCGAGTCTCTCCTCTGCATTTTACCCAACGCCAAACTCACTGTTGCTATGGCGATAAATTTATCCCCACGCACACACACACTAGTGACAGCTCTCAAAATGCTGCCATTAAAGGTTTCCTTTGGTTTTGCTGTCAACAACTGACGACGTGAAGCAAATGACTATTTAACATGGCACTTAGAGCACACATGGCTTTCCATTGTGCAACAGGTGTTCTTTATTTATGTTTTATTTTTGTATGAGTGCAAGCAAAACCTCTACCTCTCCATGTTTAGTTCTGTTCTCTTCAGACTGTACATATGCGTTTTTATTTATTAGTGAAAATCTTTACTTTATATCAAACTATAAAACAGGAGATGGAGCCAGGTGCTATAAATTTTTGCAGCCTGAGCTATTATTATTTCTAAACTCTTCCAATCAAATGAAATTAAAGTATTTTATATGTGTGCATTACCTTACAATGTGCCAGATAACAAGGAAATGTTGCACCCTTCAGGTCTCAGCTGAACTTGGATGGATATCACACTGTAATGCATTCAACTCTGTTTTTCCTTGACCCTTGGTTGAGTTTCAGACATCTGTAAAATAAATTAAAATAAGAAATCAGTAAGAATAACTGGCCCAGCACAGATGTTTTTCTAATTTTAGCTTATCTGGTACAACTCAGAGACTAAAAAAGACACCGAGAGCAACCACCGTCCAAAAATATTTATAACTCAGATGTTTTGCAGTTGTTGTTGAGCATCAGTGTGTGTTCCATTATAGCTGATTTGGTTTTATTCTGTCATGTTGGCATCTCTGCATCATTTTTGTTGTAATTTGACTACTTTATATCACTTTTTTTACATCACTTTTTAAAATAAAACTAAATATCCTGAATAAGTCTGTAGCTCTTATGATTCGTTGAACCACCAGACCAGTTTGTTTAGTAATCTGTTCGTAAAAATCGCTTTCCAGGGAAAATTACCTGTTGCAGAAGCCAGGAACAGCTGCGCGGTTGTCGCCGGGAATTTGTGTGAAATGCCGCCATCTGGTGGTCGAAGAGCAGATCGACTGTGCGGAGTTCGATTACACACGCCTCACGTCTTAGCGCAGGCAGCACAATCAACACAACGTGCAGATATGGCAGCGCTCCCATCACCTCTAAGAGTCTGTAGAGGAATACTGAAAGAATTACGAGTCATTCAAGGGCATAGTTATAAACAGTCACTAGCTTACAGCTATGTTATGGATCAGTTTCGGAGGAATAAGGTCAGTATTTATCTAAATAATAAAGGCAAATGTTAGCTAAGTGGCTAAAGCTAGTCAGTCATCACGCGATATTCCTGGACATAGTTGCTTAAACTACAATTTTTGTATTTAAGAAAATAAAAGAAATTTTAACTTTACCTTTTTACAGACTTGAATATGAACTGAATACCTACCGTGACACGGACGTTGCTAACTTTGTAAATAATTACAAACTCTTGATAAAGTCAAGTAGAAGGGCATGCTAACAGATTAGCCAACGCAATCAATCTTTCTCTGTTAATATTAAACACAAATGGGCACTTTGACGGCGATACAACATGTTAAATACCACAGTTAATATTAAAATAGTTTGAACCTTTCGTTCTTGGCGTTTGGTACTCAGACTTTGAAAGAAAAATGTCAGAACCATTAAATTTATACTTTGTGATTTGCGGAACGTTACGGAAATTAACCTTTATAATGCATCTGTATTTATCCGCTGCGAAAAGTAGACCCCTTTTTACTTTTTTACCTAATGCTGTAAATACATATTGATTGTATGAAATTGTAATTAATTTTATATGTTTTTTTCACTGTGTGCACATTTATTTTGAAAATAAGCATTGTAAAATTAAAAGGTTTATTTTCTTATTTGAATAAACTGGCCATAATTATCAAAGTTCACGCTCAATAATCCAGATATAAATCCAACAATGTTCAGGTCAGGTCATCTGGATGGTTTTTTTTTGTTGTTGTTGTTTGTTTTTTGCTGAGACGTTTCATCCTTCATCCCTTGTTTTTTTCTCATTATGGGAGTGTGCTGCTTGTGGGACAGTTCGTTCGTGGCTCCTCGAACTGATGAAGGACGAAACTTCTCAACAAAAAAAGAAACCTTCCAGATGACTTGACTGAACATTTCTGGCCATAAATCCTCCACTATTCGTTCATTAAAACCTTCTGGCCGTGTACAAATTTAACTTTGTTACTTCAGCTGTGTTTTCAGCTGTGTTTTCATTTATTCTGTTCTATTAATCCTACATCTATCCATCGTGCATATTCATATCTTTTAGTTTGATCTGTTTTAATGGGGCTGACCCCATATTAACGGTGTGGTGACCGTGCGTTTTCTGCGACCGCAACTCGACTCTGGAAAAAGCTCCCGCTTGATCCACGCCAGATTACCAAACTTGGCCTTTTTAAATCGAAGCTTAAGACTTTTTTTTTTATTCCAACAGGCTTTTAGTACTTAAATATGTAGTGACATTTCTGGTTTTCTTTTTGTTGTTTTGTTGTTTTTCTAGCTTTTAATTAGTTATGTTAATTTTTGTTAAGCACTTTGGTTACCTTCACCGTGGCTGTGTAAAGCACTATACAAATAAATGAAATGAAAATATCTGGTAACTCTTTCTCTTCAGATAACAGGAGAAAGGTACTGTCGTGCCCAGCAGGAAGCGTACCACGCCGCCCACACATACCTGTGTCTGCTGACGTCCACCAGAAACCATCTGGTCCTGCATAACCTCTACCATGGAAAGGGAGAGCGCAGCCCACAGGAAGTGGCGGGCTTAGTCGGGCTCAAGTTGCCCACGCAGCCAGGAGGAAAAGGCTGGGAGAAATGAGGACAAAAAATAATAATCACTAAACTTTTCAGCATTTACTTGTGTGCAGGCCTTGATTCATCAGACCTCATACAATGACCCTTTGTGTAATTTAAACTCCAAATGTATAAATAATTAACGGGACTTGTGCAGCTGAGGACTGAAGGAGTTTGACCAGTACTTTGTTTTTTGTTTTTGATTAGTCGTGGTTTAATGTGAAGACAAATGTGTACTGACATGATATAAAGCTGCTTCTTGGAATTTTGAACATGTTTCTTTTATTGTTCTTTGTGCTTCAAATAAGTAATTTAAAAGAACTAGTAATCTTTGTCATAATTGAGATCATTTCTCTTAGAGAATGAGTTGGAGTTGTTATGAAGACTGTTATTTAAATAAAAGCATCAATCATTTTAAACACGTCACAGGTCAAAGTTCTGGTTGTTTCATTGAAACAAAAATGCAGATTCTGGTAATAAGGGTGAAAATACAGCTCATTAAATGTTGAAGCATTTTATTTAAGGCCAAAATCGTTTCATGCGTTCTTTCTATGCAAGAATGGATTATAGGCATCTTTTATTTAAACATCTGTGTTACTGCTTTTTTTTTTTTTCAAAGATTAACAAGTTTACACTGCCTGTATGCTGTTTTAGTCCCTAGAATTTCTTACAAATAAATAATGGTCTTATAACGAGCTCCAGTTTGGGAGAAAAAAAAAGTACATCAGTGTTTCCCCTAGAACACTTGCCATGGCGGGGCACTTATCTTGTCCGTGATTTTTGTTGTTTGGGGTGGGTCGGGCGGAGACTCGTTCTAAGCTGCGCAACACGCTGTTTAAACAAACAGTTTTTTTGGGGGGGGGGGGGGGGGGGGGGGGGGGGGGGGCGGTTCAGGAGACTAAGCTCGGTTCTGTTGACTGGGTGGGGCGCCCCGCTTGTATAATGGTAGGGGAAACACTATATACAGGTCCTTCTAAAAAAATTAGCATATTGTGATAAAGGTCATTATTTTCCATAATGTAATGATAAAAATGAAACT